CCCCCGCCACTGGTGACCGCCACCCGGGGGGGAAGGGGGGAGGACCCCCTGTTTCTGGAAAATCGAGAAATTGCCAGGGGATGCCAGGCAGCAGTGCGCACCCCCCAGTATTTTTCTTTTTTTTTTCGATTTTTTTTTCGATTTTTTTTTGTTTTTTTTTTTTTGTTTTTTTTTTTTGTTTTGGAAGCCGGGGTCGGGGATGCCGACCCCCGACCCCCGGCACCCCCGCCGGGGCCCCGGGCCCGGGGGTCGACAACCCTGGGTAACGGAAAGGTGAGGCGCCATTGACCGAGTGAGGGCAGGCAGGCAGGAAGAACATAAACAGGCAAGGAGGAGGCAAGACAGCTGTGAGGTTGCTGGGTAATACCAGTAGAGGCGACGTGGGGTGTCAAAAAGGTAAGCGAATGAGCAGGGAGGGAGGAAGAGTGTAGGGAGGACGAGGGAAGGAAAACGAGGGAGGAGGGCGGAAGGGCTTGGGGGGACTAGGAAAGGGAAGTGACTGAGCGAAGGCAGGGAAAAAGAAAGAGGATGGGGGAGGACGAGGGAAGACAGCCGTTCGAGCAGAGCAGCGGAAGGAGAGGGATCGGAGGACAGAATACATGAAAGCAGCGGATGTCAGCAGAGGAGCGTGTGGTCGGAGGAGCGCACGGAGTGCACGAGTGAGGAGAGATGGACGACAGGTGTGATCGGCGACTAGGAAGGGTGTGGAAAGAAACAGAAGGGAGGAGAACGTGGAGGGCGGAACAGAAGGGAGGAGGAGGAAGGAAAAACAAAAAGCAGGCACATATTTTGGAGGACAAAGGTCAGAGAAGGACGGAGGATGGATGGGCGAAAAGGAAGGAGGACAAGCCGAAGGGAGGGAGGAGCAACAACGATGAAAGCCGAACCATGAACCCTCATGATTTTTTTATTATTATTATTATTTTTTAAACGTCGAGATTGAATGACTGGAGAGTCGGGATGTGGACGGGCGGGATCCAATTATGGAAAATCGGGACCGTGTGTGTGTGTGTGTGTGTGTGTGTGTGTGTGTGTGTGTGTGTG